AAACCTTAAAAATATAAAAATATTATGTTATCTATTTCATATCATATATTTAATTTTACTATTTGTTTTACAGCCTTGTTCTTTATCACGTAGTATTTTTATATCAGTTTTAATATAAATTGACGAACTTACCTTTATACTCATCGTAGGGTTGCCATTTTTTCGTCTTATTCATTCATATTTTACTGTACTAGTTATTATTTTGCCTTAGTAAATATCTTTGATTAGTTGATTGGAATAAAAATACAAATATATTTATTTATTTATTTATTCATTAGTACAAATATGTGTACATGGCAGACTTAGTGCTAAAAGCATTCTCTCCCAGTCAACCATAGGGAAGTGTCAGAATACTCGAATGCGGTACTAGTAATTATTGATATACATACATACTAAAATTACACATATAAACGAATAGATATATATAAATAACAAATATACTTACACATATATGACATATACTATATTATACACGAAATTGAGAATAATATAAAGCACTTACTGCTCGGATAAAGTAAAAAAGTGATTTTGAACATTTTTTTGAAAGGCGTTTTAGTCTGTAATTAATTACTAATTATTTAACTAATCAATTATTCTTTTATGTTCTAATATAACTATAAATATCTCTGAAAAATAAAAAATAAAAGCAGATATATATATAGTATATACAGTAACAATGTCAAATCTGTACATGAAATGCTTTGTAAAAAGTAATTTATTCTGTCACGGAATACCTATTGAAATTCAAACAAAGGATATCAACATTTTTCTTTTAATATGTAAAATAGACCGCATGTTACGATTTTATTGTAATTTAGTATTCATAGAAACTAAAATGTTTCCAAATATGACGCATATTTAAAATATAGGTAAAGGAATTTTATTCCGGAATTACAGCTAACCCAACAAGAGATTAGAAAAGTCACGGATCTGAGTTTGTTATCATTGTGTCTATTGATATATGTTCTAATTTCAGTATCGTGAAATGCATGTCGTTGTCTTGTGGTGGTAACCCTGTCTCATTTACCGTATAACAATGGCCAAGTAAACAAATTACCTGTGCAATGCGTCACAAGTCGCGGCCCGACATTTTGCAAATATTTGTAGGTACCTACCATCGCCCGGCTGTGACCTTAATTGCTTATTTGAACTAGCATCTCAGCCTTGTGTGCTTTGCCCCGAAGATATCGAGTCTTGAGGGTGTCGAGATAAAATCTACGAGAGCTTTATTCCCTTATCGTTTTTAGGTCAAGCGTACTTAGATAGAATAGTATTTAGTATTGGATAATATAGCCTTACTAATATTATAAACTAACATTTGACCTTGTGCGCATATATATATCTATATATGAGGTATCTTATGTGTTAAAATATAACCTATCCGTGTGCTTAAATTATTTTAAATTCGTTAACCAGTTGAAGCGTGATTAAGTAACAAACATTTAAACACCTTTCAAAATGAGTACAATCTGAATAATAAGTGTTTATTTATTAACAATCGTTCGCAATTTAGCGTACACGTACTATTTGGGATGGCGAAGGAGTTAGGCTACTTTTTACGCCGGCAAATCAATATATCCCAAACACGCAGACGCGGATAAATACTAGTAAGTCAAACTTCTTCAAAAGGATATCCAATAATGACTATTTGGTTTTACACTCGAAACTTTAGAAGATATCAGTAACAATTTAACAGATAGTCCCATGGGGGTAATCTTCCGTCCCGACTGTGATAGATTAGTCGACGTTCTCGATAATTTGAACCTATCTTCAGCCGAGACAGGCTTCAGATAATCTCTCTTACCGAGAATCCTAATTACTAATTACAGCGACGAGTTATTTATAGATGGCTATAAAATATATTCATCACTTATAAAAATTTGACTATATTTATCTTTATTATGATTAGTAAATACCTATTATGACTTTGAATAAGCTTATAAACTTTCGTCAAGAAATAAGCTATCATATACAAAAATAATTTTTAAGTCTGACTCCAGTAGTTCCATAAATTAGAACCAGAGGGAGACTTTGTACAAAAGTCGATTGCTTGGGTGGGTACCTCTGTCCTATTCGTGTTTCAACCGTGAAGCAGTTGTGTTTGCATGCCTTTGTTTCGGTTTGAAGGGTGGGATATGGCGTGAATTTACTGGGTACAGAGGAATAATACCTGAGTCCTCAGGAATAGCAACGCATGGGGGGTATCATGGGCGAAACAGTATACTCTGTTACGTCCATGGTACTGCTCATGTCTATAGGCGACGGTTACCACTTTACATCAGGTGGGCCGTCAGCTTGTTTGCCATTCTAAGTTGTATAAAAAAAAAAACTTCTATTTTAGTATAAACATAAAAATCACACCACTCGGTGATTAAAATGAAGTTGAATGACAGCAAATATATTGAAAAGTATATAATGAAGCCATAGAAAAAATAAGCTAGCCAAGCCTGGCTGCCTGGCATCTGTCTGCCGCCGCTATTGCAATTTGCACATTCCAAAACATTATCATTTATGCCAAGTAACTTTCATTTTACATGAGAAATGTTCTTCAGATATCATCGTTACATAATTTATGTGTGAGTAACACAAGAGTAAAGCTTGTCAAATATAGAGAGAATTGGAAATCAGGTTAGAATCAGCGAAAATATTACGTAACACAATAGGACACAAAAAATATATATAGGTGAATTCAAAACCTTTTACAAAAGTGGTTTGAAAAAATACATGATATCGTTTTAGGAAAGTTTTTTTATGATACTTAGAACGGCAGAAAACAGATCACCTTATCTATAACAGTAATTGCAGTCTGCAGACATGAATAATGCCTTAAACATCATAAAATATACTGTGATGCCCTTGATAGGTACCCCTCACGTGTTGCCATTCTTGAGAACTATTGTGTTAGCCCTTTGTACCCTATAATTTCACAAAGTAGCTTTACGAGTATAATTAATTTGAAATAATTGGACGTCAAAATATGGTTAATTTTTAATAGCGTAACACTAGTATAGTGTTATATTATTTTTGACACAATTCTTTAACGTACCTGTTAATTCACATAAAAATTAATGGTCTTCAAAGTGTATTTTGGCCATGTGCTCCTGGCATAGAATAAGCCACCCCTTCCTTTCCCATAAGTGTCGTAAGAGGCGACTAAGGAAGGCGAGGGATGGGCAGCAGCGTCTCTCTTAAAACATCTCCAAAGTCTTAAGCATAAGACATGCCAAATGTGGCAATTAAAGCCTGATATGATGATAATGAAAGTGTATTTATCATATAAAAAACAATGAGAAGAAATTTCATTAAGTTTTTATTATTCTCATTATATTATTTATTAAGATGGTATCTAATGAAGTTTGCAGTTTATATTGGCTGACTTGTCTTAAATAAATGCATACCTATAACATTTCATATTTATTAAGAAGCATTACATTTTTGTCTTTGAATTCCTCTTCTATTGAAAGTTGCCTACCATTTTTACTCAACATCAGGTTGTGTTACAGCCAAATCACTCCTGCAGGTTCTTTAGCTAAGAATTTTGCATCCTTACCTCTTTTATAAGTTGTTTTCAAAAAGAATGCGAAACTAAATTCCGATGTATTTTTTTCGTGTGTATATTAGCATCTTCAGCAATTCTCTTAAAACTAATTTTGATAATTTTATAATGATAAATAAGAATATTTGTCCTTGTTGTTGCTTTTTAACGAAACATATATCTTATAATTATGTTTATATTATGCAACAAATAAACTATTTTGCAAGCTGAAAAACAAGCTTTTATATTTAATAAAAGTTGTGAATTTAATTGATCTTATACCCATTTAATACTAATCATCATCTTCCTGCCGTTATATCAATTTTTTTTTTTAATAATCGACGTGATATGTTCTCTCCCTATCTTTTCGATTTAATACTTATATTAAAAAATATAAAAATAACTTAGTATAAAAGTTAGAAGTTCTGCAAGACATAGAGAAGGTAAATATATTTGATAAATAATTTCACATGTGAATTACAAATATACGTAATCACATAGATATAGTTATAAATTAATCAAAATCCTAGTATCTTAACTTTCATAGTAACAGTGTATTTGTTAAATTACTCCTCAGTCCGGACCCCATAATTCAATTTACAGTCAAGGCCATAATACCTTAGGGTAATGCCGACGACACAATAATTAATACGCACGCAATATCCGTAAGCCAATGCGGAAGAACACCATATAATACACACAGGTGAACCCACTAATATGTGAAACGACAATTAATCAATATTTCTTTAACCGTCAAGCGTGGATCTAACTTGTAGTTTATTTTTGAAAAATAACATCATAATTGTGATTTCTCAAGATTTAGAATATACCTATTATATAGTTATATTTCTTTATTCACTATTATAACAAATTTGTCACACAACGGCAAGTGAATTTTTACATTATAAAAATAAATAAAAATAATGTTAAATTACAATATGGAAGCAAATGAATAACTAACTTATACAGATTCATTGTATGTATTTATTTTATTTTCATGGATAACAGGATCCATTTTATAAAAACAGACTTAAAGTTAGCAACTGCTTTTTTTATACAATAATGTATTCCCGAAGGTTATACCCAGCCTTCATACGCAATAATAATAGATCACTCTCCTGTTATATCTTTAATATTTCTTATTTATCGATCAACGCAAAAAAAAAATGTCTAAGAACATGAAATATTCTACATGACATTCCATATGACCTATGCATCCAATAAATAAACAGATATCTCTGTCGAAATAAATAATAGAAAATAAATATCATTACACAGTAAACACAGCGCCATCTAGTCTGAAACTAAGCAAAACTTGTACTATGTGTATTTGACAATCTGTGCGCATGGTGGAGCGTTATGTTCACCATAACGACAACAGCCAACAAATGTTACTTATTTTGTTGTCCTAAATATCAAAATAGCCTTAATAATGTGATAATAATAATATATTTATTTGTTACAGGTCGCCACCTGCAGCATAATAGGGAGCCATACGCCGCGGCGGAAAGACGGGTGCGACACGCACTCGTGGTATGTAACATTTTAATATATTTTATTCATTTTAAAATTGAATTCGTAAAAAGTTAAGGAAAATAAAAGTAAGTATGTAAAAATAAATTGAAATTGTAAATGTGATAAAAGGGCGTTTATTTATTATATCTTGACGGTTTAACAGCTCAACCTATGACTATGTTTAGTATATAGGTACGTACTATATGAAATAAAAAAGGACATAGGCTACTATTCATCCCGGTCATGCACACAAAGTTGTAGGTATAAGCTAGTTTTTAGTAATAATTCTGTTCTTCGAACCAAATCTATCTATTAAATAATGCTGACTCTTTTCCCTATCCTTAAAGTCTCGTCACATCTAAAAAATGTAATAGAAATGTTACAGATCATAAAAAACGAACAGCTCGAATGATTATTTCACTTCGCATATTCTATATTCACGTCTCGTTCATACTCAATATATATACTGCCTGTCAATATGTCACCCTGTTCAACCGATGTCCGATTCGGAGACACGTTCCGTTTCCATTCGATTCTATTCTCGCTCGGAACACTGTTGTATCGATTTCCACTCGATTCTAGGCCGCGATTTCGTAACGCTATGATGTGTTTTTGAAGCAGTTCGCATTTTTGTACTTGATTTTCTCTTGTTATTATTCCATATTTACCATCGTGTAATATACACATTACATACACACATATAATTGTTTATTTATATGCTTTTGTACATTCACTTATATTAGAATATAGCTAAAATGTACACAGGTGGACTTATCCCGTAAAGAGCTTTCTTGCAGTCAACCTTGAGAACCCGAAAGGAGAAAATGCTAACAGGGTTTGTATATAAAGCATAATATATATGGTGCAAAAATAATTAATTATTATATATATATATATTCTTTATTGCACTTGTAAGTTACATATAAAATAATCTATTTATAAATGTTGTGAGCAAGGGATTATTAGTACCTGATATAGTACATATATTTATTAATAGTACATATATTTTTGTATATCTAACAAATAACCTCTTTGAAGTCGCTTAAAACCTCTACCGATAACATAATAGCAACAAAAGTAATGATATCAAGCATAACGTTACCTCCGCCATTAAAGTTATCTCCGTTCGTTGGCGATAAATTTGCCACTTTAGTATCAAGGTGATGAGGTTCACACGAATCGAATTATCTGCACCCCGGATAGTGTTTCGAGAAAATAGCATTTATGTTGCACTAAACGATATACCTATAGTCTCTATAAGACCAGAAGAGATACGTCACTGTTGTTACCTTATGTTCAATGTAAGATATGTAGTACAAATAAAAAAAATTATGATTGATCGTTTCGATTTGTTACTAATTTTATTTAGAGATTATAACGTCGAAAGATTTAATTTTTTTGTTTGTTATTGCTTATCTCAAAAAATACATGACCTATTTAAAAAAAAATTCACCTATAGAAAAAATAAATAAATTATTAGCGAGCAATACGGTCTGTTTCATTTTCAAAAAAGCCATACGAAGCCGAGGCAGTCAAACAAGAAATACTAGATGGCGCTAGGATTGGGATTTGTGGTTTTTGTTAATTATTTTGATATTAAAGATAATTTGAAGTGAAATTTCTAAGTTGGCGTGTGGTTTTTATCATTATGTATAAATATGAAGTGACAGATAATACGCTATCTTTTCCGGAATATGTACCTCAAATTATCGTTTATAATAAAATAATCAACTTTTTTTAATTTGATTTAATTTAGTGACCAACCATAAAAAACTTGGCAAACCTAAAATTTTATTGAAACAGATTATAGTGATAAGCAGTCAAGTCCTTGTAAAATTATTTAACCTTTCTGCAAATACAATTCAAGTATATCAATAAATTGTCATTAATCAAAAGTAGTACTTAGAGAAAAGACAGCGTCGTGGTTTACCTTGACTTAAACCACATTTCCATCGCCATACGTGTGTAGTACTTGCGGAGCTTTATGTATGTATGATATATAAAACATAATCATCTCTTTAGATCACAAATATTTAGATGTCACAACAGCTATTTCCACTCAGAACACATATCGTCAAATTTTGCTTTAAACTGAAGACGACACCTACGACTATATTAAAACAAGACTCCTGTAAGCAAAAGGACTAGACTGGTAATTGACAAAACAGAAACAGGATTTTTAAGAAAATTATTATCTGGTAATATACAAGCACCTATAGAAAAGAAAGAAAAAGTAAAAAATAAAAAAGTGCATATAATGCACAACCCTAAATTCAGAAAGTTGTAATTTAGCAGAAAATACCAAAGATGCTGTGTCAGTTTTATTTCCAATTAATTTTCCGGTAATGGAAAATACAAAACTAAACGGAGAGAAATCGGTAAGCTTGCCCCTATTGTATCATTGCCTCGATTGATCATTTGATAATGCAAATGCGGGCAATTTGAGTATTTACGTTCACCAAAACAGCAACTGTCGATCTGATAATCCGACGCGAAAGATCGTTTTTTCTTTACAAATATTTTAAATTGTCATTGTCATGATTCCATCATCGGATTCTTGTTCATGATGTGAACTGATAGAGTATGGGTGCGACTGTGCAACGTGCATCACAAAGTGGCCGAAAATTTTTAGATTTTTTTTTTTTATAAAAAAGTAGAGACTTCAACGTAAAAACACATAGCTAAGTGCAAGTCGGACTCGCGCATCAAGAATTCCATACAAATTGTAATTGAAAAATAAATAATGTAATTACAAATTTACGGTTTTCAGATTTTTCTTCTTTACTTATGCTATACGACATTGTTTCTTGCCGAAGTTCTTGATCTACGGGTATAGGACAACGGTATACGTATGTCAAAGGATACACCTTTGACCTATTGTATATAGGAACCGCAAATTTAAATATTTGATATTAATTTCAACTTCATACTCCCACTCATTCCCGTGAAAAAGTCTTTACAAACAAACAAATAGACAACAATGTGATGCTATAAAGGGTACGTGTTTCCTTTTGAGGAACGGAACCCTAAGTGTGAGACCAAAACTGAAGTGAAGCCGGGAGTGATTGCAAGAAGAAATACAGAAAGAAACCAAGAAGCGAACTGAGTGCCTAATTCCATTTTAAGTTGATTAATTAAGGGTTTTGTGATTGTATTTGTTAGATATACTATATGTTCAACATTTGTCTAAAATATTAGTGCTAGACGTAACTACATTAGTTTCGTCATAATCCCCGAGTATTTATTGTCCATTAACGTCAATTCATCTGCCCTAAACGTCATAACAATTTCAATCATTCGTATATCGTGATTCGAAATAATGGTTTTAAACAAATCTATGCAATGATTGATGTACGTTTAAAAAAATTAAATGAATTATTATTATTTTAAACGTATATTTTTTTAAAGTTTTATATAGTAATAAAGCGCAGCTTACCTATGTTATTAATTGAAGTCTAAACATTTTATACAACTACATTACATGAAAAAGAACTAACAGAACCTGGGACGCACCCCAGATTCAGTAGGATCTTCTCCAAAAAAAATTGGTGAAGTCGTGTGATTGCTATTATGATGTGTAAAAAAAATCCTTTAATGTGCCCGGTATCTTCCCGTGGAGTTGGTGAAATTTAGTGAATTCGGCCTGAAATACCTTCCAAGTAGTGGTGAAAAGGTGATTTTGATGTTGTCAAATTCTGCGTTGTGTTTTGTTTCTAATTTTGGATCTCCGGATGCGGTGGATCAAAACCACCAAATGGTCGCTTTGTATTGGATCTATAATTGATAGAGATTAACTATCAATGGTTTTTCAACAATCGAGGAGAACGGATTGTTAGTATAATTGCCCTATTGCTAGCAATATACCCTATCAGGGCGACCTCCACGCTGTTCCCTCTGGAAACTATCGTGGTTAATTCCTGTTGAATTCAGGCAAACTGACTTGCATTCGTCCTCACCTCATAATGTACTGGTGCCCCGCCAGCGTATCCCAATAGTGCAGATGAGGTTACCATTCTATTAACACCCATTAAAAACTTGTTCTATTTACTGAAATTCATGTCAAAGCTATGCAAAAATATGTGTAGTTATATTGACGCGACGTGTTTGCGGTCATATGTACCTCTAAACCAATTTGCAATCAATTAAACGTGCATACTACACAAGTTAGTTATCGAAATGGCACTTCTGTATCCGAGTGCTGATCTAAGTGCATGGCATGCTGGTTTCACATATTTGTCACGTTGGTTTAGTTATTTCGCCTTTTGAGGGGCTATTGATTTTGGGAATTTCCATTTGCATTATATGCCGAAGCTCGTTTACTGTGTTAAAAATTTACCTTGTGGTATCTATCAACTGCGTGCTCCTTTATTCCTTTTAAGAAAAAAAGCTTTCGATCTACCTGATAAAATTTCTTAGAATCCTAGTAAAGCAAAACATGACATTATAGTATAACAAGATACGACAAAATACTCAAATAGGGCTTCCGACCTTCCGATAGTGTTAATAGTCACGCTACAGTGATTTTCTAGAAAGTTCACCGAACTCCGTTTTTGTTGTCTTCTTGTTTCAAAATGGCGTCTACCGTTTGATATTTAATAGCCTCGATGTGTTCAGAAGTTTTGCTTACTTTTTCAATGGCTAACATTGTTAGCTTGCTGGTTTAAAACTTTATCTGTTTTTATTCCGATTTTATATTTACTTCATGTCAATTCTTGCTATTGTTATAAAAGTGAGTTTGTTTCGTTTCTCACATTTCATTTCGGTGCCATACCAGCTCAACAAATCGTCATAATATTAACTATAGATTTAGTAATTGAGGAGGGAAAGGACAAAGACTACAGATTGTCCCAATCATTGTGATAATTTTGTGTCTACCTAGTTAAGAAATCGTTAAAAAGTGAATAAATAAGAGGACAATGTTGGTTAGGTATTTTAAATTTCAAAACTAAAACTCAGTCATTCTAAATAGCAACTTCTAGCATACATACTAGTTCCATTCCATAAAATGTTCTATTTAT